AAGAAGAAAGAAGAAAGAAGAAAGAAGAAAGAAGAAAGAAGAAAGAAGAAAGAAGAAAGAAGAAAGAAGAAAGAAGAAAGAAGAAAGAAGAAAGAAGACAGACTCTGGCAACTTGAGAAGAATGAGCCTTACCACTTGAATGGATAGGCTGTAGCCCTAACTCTGCCACCACACTGAAAAATTACAGAACTTTTCTAGACTTCAGGTTTTTTCAACCAGAAGGACAGCTATTATTTGTGGTCAACTTGGTTAGATTAAGTGATGCCCAGGACAGGATATCATGTCTGCATCTTGTACTATGAATAACTACTACAAAGACAACAATATGCAATGTATTAATTATTGTAAATGTCCTACTAACCTGTTTTGAAACTATCTCATTGCTATTTGTTTCTCAATAAAATTAATTTTTAAAAAAAGAGGAGGATGCCCAAATGTCTTAGTTCCTTTTCTCATTGCTGAGACAAAATACACAACACTCAAAGTTAAAGGAAAGGTTTATTCTAGCTCAGAGTTTATAGAGGCTTCAGTCCATTGTTGGCTGGTTCCAAGGCAGGGCAGCATGACAAAGGGACACGGAAGAGAAGAAACAGTCCATGGTACTGCCATGGTAGGGTAGGCAGAAAGCAGCAAGAAACATCAAACATCAAACATTTCTCTCTTGTACCTAATCCAGGCTACTTATTGGATGATGCCACCCACACCCAGAGTGGACCTTCCAATTACCAACACCCAGATCTGAGTTAAGCCATTTAGTGAACTAATGTAGTCATCATACCTTTAATTCCTATTTGCAAACCCTTAATCCAAATGCATATATCCTAGATCCAGCCATCTCCAAAAATCCTTACCTACAAGTTCTTGAGGCCTAGGATAGACATCTAGATATGAGCCCTGACACTAAATAACAGGTAAAGCAATATTTCTGGATGTACTTGTGCAGGTGTTTCTGGAAGAGATTGATATTTAAGTCAGTGGGCTAAGTAGGAAGGATCTGCTCCCATCCAATGTGCAAACCATCCAAATGACTGAGGACCTGGTGATACAGAAAGCAGAGGAAAACTGAATTCTCTCTCTCTCTCTCTCTCTCTCTCTCTCTCTCTCTCTCTCTCTCTCTCTCTCTCTTTCTCTAAAGAACCCTAACTAACATAGAGTCCCACTTCCAATCCAAATGATAAGAATTATCTTAGGTACAGCTTAAAGCATTTAGGCTGCTATTTGGAATGTTAGTTATCAATTCTCATTAAAGGATGACCATAAGACAAACTTACATAGTTAATTCAACTAAGAAAATAAAAAAGTCACACTTAAAACTTTTATTTAACATCTTTAAGGTTCACACAGAAGAAGAGTTGGTGAAGATATGTGGGTGGCTCTTTACAAAGAATCTTTTTACTTTCAGAAATTACTTCATTCTACAAAAATGCTTTTTATTCTTCTTATGCACATCAAAAGGCTAGTAGATTAAAGTCTCAAGTAAGATGCCAGAAGTAGCCAGAATATCATGTAAGCTGTCTTGAGAAGCAGTCATTCCTACCTCCCACTTGAGTCAGTCAGCATCTGCAAAAGCACTTATACAGCTGTCATCCCCACATCCTGAAAGAGAACTGGAGCTTGAATGAATAAGTAGTACTTGTCATCGTTATGGAGAAACAAAGTTCAGACCTTTTTCTCAGCCACAGGATCAGTGTATGCTTCTCCATGTTTTTCCTTTGTAGAGCTCCTTCCTTTATCTGGTTTATTGTGCAATCTTATCTCTGTCCTTAGGCGTTCTCTCTCATTTTTGTGCTTTCTGCTTTCAGGTCCCTGAAAGAGACAGGACACAAAGAAGTACAAATTGATCAGTTCCAAGTTTCTCCAAACAACACTACACAAGGAAATCCCTGATCATATAGCAGTCTTCCACATCTTAGTTTCTAATAACAATTAGCATAAATCAATGTCTTAATTACTTTTCCCATTGGTAAGGCAAAACATCCAATACCTAAAGTTAAATGAGAAAAGATTTACTTTGGTTTGCAGTTTGTAGCAGTTTTAGTCCATAATCAGCTGAATCCAAAGAGTGCAGCATGACAGAGGGACATCACAGAAGAAAATAAACAGTTCGTGGCATGGAAAGAAGAAGGCAGGAAGCAACAAAAGGAGCAAGCTGCAAATGATAGCAGCAGCCCTTTCTCCCTCTTGTAGTCTACTCAGGCTGTGCACCCTTATGGAGGCAGCACTCACACCTATGGTGAGTCTTCCCATTATCTATGTCTGGCACTACGCCAAGCAAATCAATAGATTAATGTAGTAATCACATACTCTTTTTTTCTGTATTTTAGGGGAGGGTCTACAGGGTGATCAGGGTCTCACTACTACATTGGACTCATAGTGATCCTCCTGTTTACAGCCTCCCAAGAGCTAGGATTCTAAGCACATGCCACCACGCCCAGTCTCAATTGCCATCTCAGCACACCCTGGGGGTGGGGCCAGCACGGCAGTGCTTTAATCTACGGTGCTATTTGGCCAGCCCTAATCACATACTCTTAATCTTAGCATCACACACTTAACCCCAGCATCACATATCCTAAATCTATCCACTCCTGAAAAGCCCCACCTATGACTTCATGAGGCTTTGGAGGAGTATCTAGTTGCAAGCCATAATACTCAATATATTATATTGCTAAATGTTTTATTCATAAAGAGAAGGAACTGAGAGAGAGAGAGAGAGAGAGAGAGAGAGAGAGAGAGAGAGAGAGAGAGAAGCAGAGAGGCAGAGAAGCAAAGAGAGGCAGAGACAGAGAGACAGACAGAGAAAGAGAAAATGAGAATATAGAGCCTTAATTTCACAGTGGATCTGAGGGGTTATTCAACCTGTACACAACTGTAAGTGATGGCCTCTGATGTACCAGTGGGAGTGATTTCACAGTAAAATGAAAGTAATAATCTCCTGGAGCTTTTTGAAAAGGAAAATGGAATCACAGATGGAATGAATTCTAACTTACCCATGTTCATTCCATTAAATTACATCAATATTAGGGTTTACACTAACATTTAATGTAAAGACTAAAAAATGAAATGTTAATGTTAAAGGATAACATCCAACCAAATTTGCATTCCCCAACAGTTTGTCCAGGGTACTGAGAGGAGACTTGACATTTATTCACTGAATCATTGAACACAGAGTGATACAATGCTAAATACAGAGACTACTTTCCAGATAGTCCTAGATGGAAGGAAACAAACTGTCAGTAAGTACAAAGGCTGATTAAAATGTACAATGAATGTTCAAGTTTTAAAAATTTTATAGTGAAGACATTGCTAATAACCCTGCCTTCATATACTCTCCTGACTTTAAACACACTCATCCTAGTTTTAACACTCATTAAACTCTGTATAAAAATATATTGAATATTATTTTTAATTTTGTTTTTCCTTTATTGAAGAAAATATGCAAGAATTATTAAAAAGTAATAATCTGAAACATGTTTTATTATCAGCTAGAAACAAAACACGAAAGTCACCAGCACAAGCTAGGTAAGCTTTTAAATAACAAAATGAAAAATTTAACATCGTTAGTCATGATCAAGCCACAAAAGGTATTTCTTGCTCATCTTTAGGATCCAAAGAAGATATCAGAACATAGAAAGGTATCCCTTGCTCTTTAGTAAAAAGAACCAACATAGTGAAAATGGCCATACTCCCAAAATTGTTATAGAGGTTTAATGCAATCTCTATCAAATTCCATTAGCATACCTCACAGAATGAGAGAAAAACATTCCTAAAATTCATCTGGAACAAGGAGAGATCTAGAATAGCAAAAGCAATTCTGGACAACAAAGGCAAGGTAGGAGACATCACAATGATACTGGAAAAACTGGCTTTCCACCTGCCAAAGACTAAAACTAGATCTACGTCTATTATCTACACTAAAATCCAAATGGATCAAAGATCTAAATGATAAAAGAGAAACACTAAATCTACTAGAGGGGAAAGTAGGTAGAAATCCTGAAGACATAGCAGTAGGCAGAATTCATGCACAAACACAGACTGCATGGGAAATACTTGAAAGAATCAACAACTGGGATCTCATCTTATTAAAAAGTTTTAGTACATCAAAAGAAATCACCAAAAAAGTGAAACAACAACCCATAGAGTTCAAAAAAAAATTATCCAACTGTTACTCAGACAAAGATCTTCTATCTAGAACACATAAAGAATTGAAAAACACCAGACCATCCCAATGCAAAGACCCAATCCAAAAATGGGCATCTGAGATGAATACACACTTCTCAGATGAAGAAATATAAACAGCAAATAAATATATTTTTAAAATTTTTGTTGTCTTTGTAGTAGTTATTCAGAGAACAAGATGCAGACATGATATCTTGTCTAAGTAATGTTAGTGCAAACTTTTATTCTGAGTAAACTAAGAGAAAGTAGCTGTATATCTATCCTAACTCTCTTGTGTATACATATTAGTATGAAAAGGTTATTCATGAGATGCAAATTAAAACAACACTAGATTCAGTCTCACCCTAGAAATAACGGCTATCATAAAGAAATCAATAAATAACAAATGCTGGAGGGGCTGTGGGGAAAAAGGAACTCTTCTCCACTGTTTGTGGGAATACAGACTGGTATAATCACTGTGGAAATCAATGTGAAGATTCCTCAAAAACTAGAATTTGAGGGCCCACTTGACCCAGCTATTCCCTTTTGGATATCTTCCCAGATGAATTAGAAACATACTACAGTGACATATATGCCACCGTGATTATAATTTGTCATAGCTCAATTTGTCATAGTTAAATCCTGGAGACAACCCAAAGGGCCACAACTGAGGAATATCTAAAAAAGATGTGGCATTTATATACCATAAAGTACTATTCAGGTCTAAAAAAGATAAACTTGAGGCTTTTATATGTAAATGGATGCAATTCGAAACCATACTTATAAGTGAAATAAACCAGACTTGCATGTGTAAACATTGTATTGTCTCCCTAGTGTGAGAAACTGAAATAGTAAATGAGTTCTAAAATGTACAATGGGGCTGGAGAGATGGCTCAGTGGTCTAAAGCACCTACTTGGAACAAGCTTGGCAAAGCACAGGGACCGCGGTTCAATCCCCCAGCACCACATGCCAGCCATCCCTGCCCCCAGGCAGGCTGAGCTGGTCACACACACACATACACACACACTAAATAAATGTAAAAAAAAGAAAAAAGAAAAGTTACATTCCTTGTTATATAGGTCTTGCTTTATCTTGGTCTTAACCATTCAGCAGAAAAGTATAAAAATGAGGTACAAAAAGTAAAGCCATACTAATATGCTGAGCTCTAAAAAAATAAATAAATAAAAATAAATAAATAAAATGTACAATGGATATGTATTTTTTATTTTCCTTCCCCCCCCCCTTTTTCACAACAAAACTGTCCTTTATCTATACTTTTGTGAAGTTAGTAACACATGACACTACATTGCTTAGCAACTGATAGCAAACCTTAACCAGACAGATGTTCATCTCAGGGGTGTGGTAGCTTGTTTGCTTTAGGCACTGGGTCAAGTCCCACCTACATATATTTGATCAGTTTCCTAGCTTCATGACTCTCAATATATCCCTCTTTTTTTTTATTTCAGAGATGGGTGTTCCACTGCAGTTAGACAAGCTGTATTTGGAGATGTCTTTAAAGGACCTTTTCATAATTATACATATACACAAGAGAGTTAGGATAGATATACATCTAATTTCTCTTAGTTCACTGAGAATGTTTGTACTAATACTGTTTAGACAAGATATTATGTCTGCATCTTGTCCTTTGAATAACTACTATGAAGACAACAATATGCAATGTATTAATTTTTGTGAACATCCTACTAACCTATTTTGAAATTATTTGATCGCTATTTTATCTTTTTTCTTATTAAAATGAACAAAAATTATTAAAAAAATAAAATGTACAAGGAATATTATGAAATGGGAACAAATTGGTTAAAAGGAACTACAATGAGTAAAAGGGGAAAGGAAAGGAAAGAACAGTGAAAAATTGTAAGTCAGTTATTCTATTAGTGTCTCTTGGATCATTAAAAAGGAAGACCTGTGCTAACATCAATGGAGAAACTGGTAAGCCCATATCTTATAACCTGGGCAACTACTTTAAAGATAACATGTAATGTATTAACTATTGTCATTCTATTGTTATGAAAGTTTATTTTACCTTTTTCCATAAAATAAAAAATAATGATACAGTTCTCTGAGTATTGACATGGACAATTGTCCCTGACTTGTATTGATGTACGAGAAATAAAAGTCACAGGCTAGCACATTGAGTAGTACCTCATTTTTGTTAAAGTTTAAAACTAGATTCATATAGTTCATGTATATGTATGGAGAAACGTCTAATTGTTGTTATTCAGATTTCTTTAAGAATTTAAAATTGAGTTACAAATTTTCCCAAGGCTTTACATTTTATGTATAGTTTTTGGCATAGTCTGAATTTCTTCCTTTTTTTATGCAGGGTCTCACTATGAAGTTTAGGCTGCTCTTGAGCTTGCTTATATAGCCAAGGCTACAGTTATCCTCCTGGCTCAGCCTCCCAAGGGCCAGGGTTAAAAGTATGCACAACCACCTCTGGCTTCTGAATTTCCTATGATTAATCTGTTACTGTTTTGGAATCCAATAAATCTAATCAGTTACCTTGTTATTAAAAAAAACTGCTGTATAGATTATTAAATAGTAAAAGATTTGAAAGAATTTGTGATTTCTATATATTTTAAATCTCTAATTTTGGAGTAAGATAACTTTTATAATATATACTTTAAAGCTAATTTAAGATATGTAAGTTTAAATTATCATAATAAATTGAATATTACTTTCAAAGATCACATCACTAAGCAGCACATGAAGAAGTTAGATTTGTGCTTCCCTCAAGCTTGGAGAAGAAAAAAAGCTCTTTAATTTCCCTGAGAAAGTGGCTCAATTATTTAATAGCTCTGTTACATACCAAAGAGACAGAATGTTTGGTTTTAATACACAGTTGCTGTGCAAAGGACTCTGAAAATTCCTGAACTTTTGGGTCAGATTGTCCTTTTGATTCCAGCGACCCCTTGATTGATCCACTTGCTGAGCATTTTCTGTAGTACAGCATGTGAGCTTGGGTTCGGAACTCTTGGTCCTCAGAATGCCTTCGGGGATGGCACTCAGCTGTAGATCTGGAAACCACAGGAAACTGGAACATAAAATTGAAAAATTAACAATATACAGGCACTGTGCGATATTAGCACAGAGACAGGATGACTACAAGCGATGAACTAAACATTCATCTTCATGATCAGTAAGAACATTCTCCAATTAGAATGCATAATAAACTGGATAAAATATTAAGTAGATCATCCCAAGCCTAACTTTATTGCTTGCTATTCCACCAATAGCAGGGTAAATTCCAAACAGTTTTTTTTTTCCATTTTAATGAAACCACAATTTTTAAGGAAATACTATAAAATGTATATGTCATTTTAATATTCATGTTTTTCCCCTTGGAAAATGGCAATGTAAGAGTCATAACGAAAAATTAATTTAACTATATACAAATATACAACTTGAGTGGGACTACCCAGGTCACCTGACTTCTAGGAAATGGTATAAAAGGAGACCAGGAAGGGAGGATTTTATACTGATTTCTCTCAGAGAAGCTTTAGCTGTTCTCTTTGGCTGAGCCCTTTCTCTGCTAAGGATGACTGCTGTGCTCTCAGGAGGAGCTCTGCTCTTTGCCTTCACCCTGAGCAGCATCCCTGTCCTCTGTCACACTGCAGCTGGGAGCACTGCTCTGGACCTTGGTGTGGGCATCATCTCCTGGTTTTCGGTGCAGGCTCTTTGACTTCCAACACTGGCCTTTCAGCATATTGGTCTAACCTCTCTGTCCTTGGGGACTAGCCCTTGGACTTTCTGGTCCTCCATCATGGATTTTTTGGCCTCCTGATAGGGAGTTTGATGGGACACTGTCATGAGTGCTAGGTCTCTGCTTTAGCTGGATTCTTCAGACCTTCAGCACACAGACAGATTTCTTGCTCTCTTCTATGTCTGATTCTTGTAAGCATTGATTAATACAGATGGAAAATTTTAAGTACTTGTTTTAATAAAACTCAATGAGTTTCAAGACAGCACAGAAAAGTTATTTGATATTTGAACAGAGATATAATGCTGAAATGGAAGTAATTTTTGAAAATAAAACAGAAATTCCTGGGCTAAAAATTACCCTGAGTAAAATTAAATCTACAGTGGAGGGTACTGATAACCAAAGGAGATCTAACAAAAGAATAAGTATACTTGAAAATATGCTCTTTGAAATACTCTGTTGGATAAATCAAAAAGAAAGAATAAGGGCCAACAAATAGCTCAGCAGATTAAAGCTCCTGCTTAGGCAAATGCAGGGGCCTGGAGTTTGATCCCTGGACCTGCGGTGCCAGCCCCACCCCCCAGGGCAGGCTGAGACAGCAATTGAGACTGGGCATGGTGATGTGCCTCTAATCCCAGCACTTGGAAGGCTGCAAACAGAAGGATCACTACAAGTCCAATCTACATAGTGAGACTCCGTAGAAGCTGTACTACATACAAAAGGAAGGAAGGAAAGAAGGAAGGAAGGAAGGAAGGGAGGGAGGGAGGGAGGGAGGGAGGGAGGGAGGAAGGCAGGAAGGCTGAAAGAAAGAAAGAAAGAAAGAAAGAAAGAAAGAAAGAAAGAAAGAAAGAAGAAAACCTATGGAAACTTCGAGATACTAGAAGAGAATATTCAAATAAAAATATTTACAGTGATAGAGCTGTAGTAAAAGAGCTACACTTTGCCTATTTGTGATTTCTTTGGGAATTGAGTAAAAGAATACTCAACCAATGATTAAAAAATATCTCGCAAGGGGCTAGGGAGATAGCTCAGCGGTATAAGTACATAGCAAGCACAAGGTCCTGAGTTCAATATCAAGCACCAGGGGGAAAAATCTCTCACAAAATTATTAGTTTCTTTAATTCAAGTTAGCATTATCTTTTATTCTGATTACAGAAGTAGCCTTCTAATAGTGAACACCCTCCTAAGAGTGAATATCCTGAATTGAATCCCACTCTGTATTTTACTCTTCTCCCAGATGCTAGAATAGGAAGAATGAGGAGGAGGACAAGGACCAGTAGAAGGAGGAGGAAGAGAGCAGGAGGAGAACGAGGAAGAGGATGGGAGGGGGAGGAGAGAGAAGAGAGGAAGAAGGAGGGGGAGGAGAGAGAAAAAAAAAAGAATAAGCGGAGACTCAAGACTTGTCTAGCTTTTCACTTTGTACCTCATCCCGTACCACCTCACCCCTCCTGTGACACAGCCTCAGGGCCTCCAGCTCACCAGCTCCTACACAACACAGGCATTAACAAGACAGTCCTCAGCTCTGTAATTTCTTTCATAGCCTCACCCCCTTCGCCTCCGTAATGGATGATGTGACTAAAGTCCCTTTGCTGATACCAATATTAAGTTCCTCTTGCAGATCCATACAAAATTTAGAGGTAAAATAGCATCAGAAGCAGGCATCCATGTTCTGCATGAGAACTTTCTCAAAGACTTCCAAAAACAAAAATACACCAAGAAGTTCTGCATATACAATGTCTGAATTCACTGTCGTAATCTGTCTGGACTCACACAGACACAAATTTCAGTAACAAAACTGGTCTTTGACTTTAAGACTTCAGCAATTCAGACAATACTGTTTCCTAGAAACTACCTCCACAAGGCACAGAGATCACTGTGCCAGAATGGTGGACGGTGTGTCTGCGCAGCTGTGTGAAATCCTCCATTTGCCAATAAAAGCTTCATTGCCCCTTCTTCTTTGGCTGCATCACGAGTTTGCCATACATACACTCCGAGTAAAATTTACTCATGTCTGACTGTAAAAATTCTTTATACATGGAGATAATTTACTCCTTTCAACACTGGCACAGATAATTATCCTTTACTGTCAGTAGAAACTGCATGTCCCCAAAAAGGCTTTCCTGCCTATTTTGATTGTTTCAGTTAGTGTTCATACTGATTGATCAATTTTGCATGCTTATATCTAGTAATCTGAGCAACTATTTTGAAGATAAAAATATGCAATGTAATAACCAGTGTTAATTTCCTCTCATGTTTTTAAAATTCTGTATCATTTTTATTTGTTGTTTTATTAATTAAATAATTTTGGCAATTTGGTTCAGTCTCTTTTGTGCTATATCACATCAAGGGCTACATTTGTTTGAGATAGTATCTAGCATTCTGCCTTGTTCATAGCATGAGTTTTTAGGGGAGGTTGGGGTTTTTTTGTTTTGTTTTTTGAGACAGTTTCCCTATGCAATTCAGGCATAGCCCAGGCTGGCCTGGGACTCTCAGAAACCCTCCTGCTTCAGTCTCCTGAGTGCTGGTGTTATAACCTGTGAAACTGATTCTAATTTTGTAACTCTGTATGTTTCCACTGTAACTTTATTTACAAGGACTATCTGGTATAAACTGAAAACCTAAACTCCATCTTGTAACAAGCTTTGTAACTTCCGTTTTGTAAAACCTTAATTTGTTTTGTAAACCCCCCACCCATGCCTTCCCTGAAGAATGTGACTGTTTGTACAAATAAGAAAGTGTTCCTCAGCATTCTGAGAGAAGATAAAAAATGTTCCTCAACATTCTTCAAAATGAGTTAAACTGTCCTTCCTACAGGGACAAACAGAACACCTGAAAGTGGGTAAAACTGTCATCAGATGTCTTCCTGACTACCAAGACAAAAACAACGCCTAAGCCAAATAAAACATATTCCTGTAGGGTTTGCAAAATGTGACCTCATCTATGGAAACAAAGAGTTAACCCTCGGTCATGACTAACTCAAAATAAGCTTTGTAAAATCCCCTCTCCTCCTCCTACTCTTATGGTTTTTCCCTTTAAAAACTGTGCCTCACCTAGACTAAAGGCGCACATACTTGGACACGAGAGTGCGTGCTGCCACTGAGCTCAGCTAAATAAAGCGCTTTTAAGTTGAGTCCGGTTTTTTATTTTTGGGTTACAACACTGGGATTACAGATGTGTACCACCACACCAAGATCAATGAATTCTTAAATGTATATTGGATAGATGGATGAATGGATGGATAAACAATGAATAAAAAAGAAATAACAGGGACTGGGAAGATGGCTCAGTAGGATAAGCGCTCGACTGGCAAACGCAAGGATCTGAGTTCAATCCCCGGTTCCGCCAAAAAAAAAAAAGAAAAAGAAAAGAAATAACAAATTGTAAAAGAATATTTATGCTTATGAGTAGTCAGTGATAATGTAGAATAAAATAACAAATGATTTTACCTTTCAGGTTTGCCTAAATAATAGGGAGTTTGGGTGAAGTGCTTTTTTGTTTTCTTTTTTAATTTTGTTTTCAGGTAACATCTCCTCATGTTGACCAGAATGGCCCAAGTTCCTAAGCTAGCAATCTTTCTATCACAGCCTCCTCCCAAGTAGTTGGAATTACAGATATTACCATGCTTACCTAAAATTTCTATGACACCAATACTGGAGATAAGCTATTTCATACTTTGTTGGAAGGACTATAAAAGTAAGGCCAGCCAAATAGCTCAGCAGATTAAAGCAACTGCAAGCAGGCACAGGGGCTGAGGGTTCAATCCCCAGGCCTGCTGTGCTGGCCCTGCCCCCAAGGCATGTTAAAATGGCAATTGAGACTGGGCATGGTGACACGCACCTGTAATCCGAGCACTTGGGAGGCTGTAAACAGGCAGATCACTTCAAATCTGATCTAGTAGTGAGACCCTGAACACCCTGTAGGCCCTTCCCTAAAATACAGGAAAAAATAATAATAATAGTATAAAACTGTACCAGATTTCTAGGAAGTCTTTGTCACTATGTATCAACATGTTTTAAATGTTTATCTGCTTGTATAAGGCACCGGACATTGCTATGTGCTGAGTTGTGTTCCTACTTCCCCTATAATTCATATTTTGAAGCCCTCAGTAACTACATTTAGCAATATGGTCTTTAAAGAGGTGAGCTCAAATGAGACCACTACAAGATCTACAATCACCACACAAAAATAAAAAGCATCTATGTATACTAATAATGAACCCACTGAGAAAGAAATTAAGGAAAAATATCATTCACCATAGCACCTAGAAATGTTAAATACTTAAGAATTCATTAAGAATATGGAAGAACTTTACAATGAAAACAACAGTACACTAA